CCCTCGTCCCCCGCAGGGAATCGTCCTGGACCCGCCTATGAATGCTGAACCCACTTTAGGGACACCCTGAAATGGCTAAATTCTTGCCAGATGCGTTTAGAAGAAGCATTATGCTGACAATTCTTTTAGAGGACGAGATACAGACGTGAATGTGATCAACAGCTGACCATCGGACAGTACTGCTTTTTGGTCAGAGTAGCTGATAACTGATCCAAGTAGTTGAAGTAACTTTTGTTTGCGCACGAGCATCTTGTCGATTCTGTGATAATATTGTAGGTTTTGCTATCGACATGGACCGAATGCACGTCGACCTCCGGCACCCTCAGCCGATATTGTATCACTCAATGAATTCATCATTCCGAAACTCTTTGTTCGACTCTTTCTCTTTTTCCGTGGTTGGGTAAGTTCAAAAAAAAGCTTTTTTTTTTGATTTTTCACTGAATTTTTTTAATTTATTTGCTATTTGGATGTGTTCTTTTTTTTTGAATTTTTTCTAAAATTTGCGTATAAGCATCTTCGATAGTATGTGCCATAAACAGATTTGTTAGCGGGCAGTTACTCACGGCACTTGCTATTGATGGAACACTTTTAAGTACATGTTCCTTTCGTGAAAAGTAATTATGGAGGGAGTTCTGGTTTTAATTTTATTCTATGATTTGTCAACGAAATGATTGAAACAGTATCAGCTGGGAAAGGCATGTTACTTGCTAACAACCGCTTCAGACCGGATAAGAAGTTGGAATTTTTGTAAGGATATTCTCAGCCTTGATTTATGCTAAACATTTCAAATTCAGCTATCGCACATGCACTGCTACCAGCCGATGTAGTACTGGGCAAAGAAAACTGGGAAAATTACTGGTTGTATAGTTAGAGGACCAAATTTGTGAATTAAGAGTGGATCGTTTCCAAATATTCTAAGCAATTATTTTCTTATTGCTTGCAGAAGAGGAATTACAATCTAAAAAATGAGCATTTGAGCGAAGAAACCTTCAGTAATCAGCTTGTTCATCGTGCACACATTCTGATCGAACTCATCCAGGTAATTTTT